TCTTCTCTTGCTTTGTGTGCTACAAGGAGGGAGTGTGGCGACTTGAACTGGTGCACATAGGTGCAAAGCTCTATGTTGAAAGCAGACAGACAGCCTCGGGTTCGAGTCCCACTCTGCTAACTTCAGCTTAGACAACCAGTTAACGCCATCAGCACTCACACAGTATGTGTATGTGTGTGTGGGCGTCTGACGGCATCGTACATGGAAAAATCTCTCCTTGGTTAACTGAGTTCAAACACCAGGCTACAGGCGAAAACCAACATGGTAGCAGAAGTGGCAGTGAAGTTACAGGGCTTCAAATGAACATAAAGAAGACAGATGTAGTGATGCAGATACCTAACCGACATCACCATCACCAGCAACAACAACAACAAGGATCAATCACGATTAACGAGAAAAAACCTTGGAGGAAGTCAGCTGTTTCACCTTCCTAGACATTATCATTCCAACTACAGGTGGCACAGATGAGGATGTTATAAAGCCAGTCAGAATCAGAGAAGCTAAACAGGCTTTCATTACTCGACAAGATTCGTATATTCGACACTGATATCAAATGACAGTCAATTCTTCTGTATAGTTCAGCTAGTTAGTGCACAGACTGCTAAAACTATTTCCAACTAGCTAGTCTACAGAGTTGCATCAACAACTGTCATAGCTTGAATAATAATAATAATAGTAATAATATCTATATAATAGTAAAAGCATACACATATGTGTATATCAGCTGTGTTTCCTTAAAATAACTGTTTCAATTTTCTAAAAATGAAGTTAGTTGCTTTTGGCATTGTGCCAACTGCCTTTTTGTTGTGAAATTTATTATCTACTTGAAAAGTAATATTATATGTGTACAAACATCAAACTTCTGTGATTTTCTCTCTCTCTCACACTTGTTTGATAAAAGAAGGACGGGGGAGAGCGTGAGAATTAGACGTGTTAAATGAAGCATAAAAATATAAAATATTTGGACTTAAACAGTTTTAATATTTAATCGTTATATAAAAAAGGATCGTGATAAATTATCCTATCTTGGACCACCGGACCATTGTCCTAATTAGGATGTTATTTTTCACGTATTGCTTTTGTAGGGATTTTGTTTGATTGGTTGGAGGAGGATTACATCATGAGCTGACATCCAGTTAGAGAACCATTGGAAAACCTGCAGGGACAGCCAGCTGTTTCGTCAGCCTAGTTCGGGACTCTTCAGTAGTACGCACCCAAACCTCGGGGTTTGAACCCAGAGCCTTCTCGTTAAAAGGCGAGCTAGCTCGTAGGCCATTAAGCCACTGGGGCCCCCGATCCAACAACCAGTCCATGAACTCCAACTTCTGCCAATTCACGACATAGCAATATCTTCTTCGATGAGTTATTGCCTCATCTTCATCCAGTCAGTGAACTGGGGTTCTAGCGGGAAGCCGTGACCAGTAGGGGTACAGCAGGTTGAAGATGAAGCAGTAACTCGTCGAAGATAACATTCGGAAGTGGCCGCACTATGTCATGAATTGGCAGAAGTTAGAATTGATGGGCTGCCAATTGGATCGCGTCCCAGTGGTTTAATGGGGGTTAGAGCTCGCTAGCCTTGTAACCCGAAGGTCCTGAGTTCGAATCCCGCGGTGTGGGTGCGTACTGCCGAAGAGTCCCAAACAAGGCTGACGAAACAGTTGGCTGTCCAGTACTCCCTGCAGGTTTTCCAATGGTTCTCTAATAGGATGTTATTTGTTGATATTTATGATTTCCTGTTGCTTATTTTATTCACTGGTATTGTTGAGTTCACCAGGTCTTGGTGGACACTTTAATAATTAAGATGAACAAGAAGTTCTTCCCTGGTGTTGTTGGTGGTGATGGGAGAGGGTAGCAGAAGGTAGAAGAACATGCGTTTCATTCTTATTTGAGACTCGTCACCTGGATGTTCTCGTGCAGTGTCAGTCGGTGATGGTGTTCCCACTGAGACTAGAATGCCAAAGGGTTATCCACTACTCTACTGACCTCTGTGACCTCTTCAGATGCTTATATACTGACGGATATCGATTGTTTACATTTAGTAGAGTAAATAACGAGATATATGGGAAGTTTTTCAGTCAGTTATCAAGCGATACTTGCTTTACGAAAAGTAAATCAGTCAGAAAACTTTATTGTTAAGAAGGATATAGTCACAAAGTTGCATCATGCATTGGGATGAAGATGGCAAAGTTCAACAATAGCGCGTCCCAAGCGATGCGAACGCACGGGTGAACCTACAGCCGACCAATCATAAAAGTGAGGAATTTTCGCACGAAAAATGACGTATATTTACAAGAAAATGCATGAAAACACATTAAACAGGGTATCTTTCTCTGACATGTGACTTAAAAATACGTCCCAGTTATAATGAGGAGTATCAGTTGCTAAGTTAGACTAGTTTCTGCACATCTATTCACCGAGGTGACTATAGATGAGCTGTTTTTGTGAATTGTGTCTCTCTTTCATCCTGTTGTGCAGTCTTCCACAAAAGCCGTCGGCTGAATTGCTATATTTTCTAGTAATAGGATAGACTACTACTTATCAGGGAAATATGGATGATGAAACAAATTAAAATAAATGACATCACCTCTAAATCTATCCCTAATCGTAACCCTAATCCTAATTATGACCATGATTCTAACTCTAACGAGATATTAACACATTGTCCAAACAGTACTTAAAAATGTGTGATCTGAGTGAAATTTGCTGCTTAGTTGGTGAATAGCTTTGATATTTCAGCTATCAAAATGACGCGTGCCGCTATAACCAACGACCACAGCATGCATTCAAGGTCATTGGAGCGTTCGTACTGCTGGGACGCTATTGTTGAACTTTGCCATGAAGATGAGTCCAAAACAGCTGGGACTATAGTTTCGCATAAAATTATATACTACTAATTGATTCGGATGAGTAGTAGAGTAGTAGTGGCACACCAGTCATATCAATCAGCAGTGCTTGCTAACCAGCCAGCCAGTCAGATCGAGTGGTTTGAACTGATTCGGCGGATCTCCGGGTTGATGAGTCTGCCCGGCTACACTGCTGATGATGAGCTCGGCCTTGAACGAGTGAAACGACCGTCCAATAGTACTTAGATCACCTCTATCTGGCTGACTGGCTAGTACATAGTTTGATATGAACTTCCTTGCTTTCTTGATTTCCCATTATGGCATCAAACAGATCGCATATTGTGATGGTCTGAATATTGTTGGTTTCCACTAAGGAAATTATAATGAAGTTTCACCTCCTCGGACTGTGTAAATTGGGGCTATAGTTCCTTTTATTTTGCAAGGCCTAGAGGTTTTCGAAATTCATCTTCTAATCTGTTACGCATGTTGTAAATACTTTTCGTCAATATATTAAAAACAATGATTCGTGTATCTTTTTATACTGCTTAATTTACATTCTAAGTGTTTATTCAAAGTATAAAGTTGATAATTTCGTGATGGTATGTGTATATACTACTTGATTGATGTCAGTAGTTGGAATTTAGTTGAGGCCGCTAAAAAGTTGGCTAGCCACTTGAGTGAACTGGTAATACATGGAAGAAAAATGCGTTATTTATACAGACTGAACAGTTTGACGTGAGAGGCAATCACAGATTTCTTTGTAAATCAAAAATATATTCACATCACAGTATGTTGTGATCTCCTTGATATTTGGAATTATTATTATTATTCCCCTGGGTTCCGAGTGGCACATATAGCTTCAACAACAGCTCTCCACTTAGCTCTATTTGGTGCTGTCCTCTTTAGTTGAATACACGATTGCCCATAATCTCTCATCTCTTCCACGTAAGTCACTCTCGAAGCGACGCCCCACACGTCGTTTGCCATTGAGATTCCACTCGAGCAATGGCCTGCATGGCGCGCGATGTCATTCGATGGCCTCCTCAATGTATGCTTGATCCATCCATCTCCATTTTCTCCTACAGAGTGTCTTGTCGCTAATTCTTTCTGGCTAACTGATCATTTGATCTTCAGTATGGAGTCAACGAAGTGGGCAGCTGTTGATAAAAGTCTGTAACTTGTTGGAAATCATTTTCGTGACACGCTAGCCAAGTTTCTGAGCCGTATAGAAGAACTAACTGACTTCACATTGGTGTTGAAAATCCGAATCTTGTTCTTTGTGCTGCGGAGTGCAGAAAATTTCCAAACTGGTTTCAGGCTGATGAAGGCGTATCTTGCCTTTCCGATTCTGACTGGTTTTGACATCTTCATCCTTTCCGACTGCCTGTATTTGAAACGATGCTTCCTAGCCTGATAAGTGAAGGAAGTAACCGCTGTCAAATCTCTCCCTTTGATGGTGATTGATGTTGGTTGTTGTTGCTGTTGGCTGGTTGGTTGGTTGGTTGGTTATCTTCACCACTTACCTCCGTCTTCCCTCTGCTAGTCTTCGAGTTTGTGTAGAATTAGACATATATCATCTGCGAAATCCAGATGTTCTAGAGTCTTATCATCGGTGGTCCAACGTATTCCTGTCTTCTCACTCCCAACGCACGGTCTGACGCATAATTCAATCCACCAGAATTAAGAATATCACTGTTGGTGATAATAGGCAGACTTGATACTTGGAATAGCAAACAAACTAGGACTTGCTATTCAGGTAGGTCGTGACCAGTAGGATGCAGCAGGTCGAGTGTGAGGACAAATACTCGCGAAGACATTGGCTAGAGGTCGCGCTATGTCGTGAATTGGCAGAAGTTAGAATTCATGGGCCATTGGATCGGGTCCTAGTGGCTAATGGTCTATAGCTAGCTCGTCTTGTAACCAGAAGGTCCTGGGTTCGAATCCCAGTGGGTTTGCACTGATGAAGAGTCCCAAACTAGGATGAAACGGCTGTCCAGTACTCCCAGCTGGTTTTCCAATGGTTCTCTAACTAATGTCAGCTCATGATGAAAATCCTGTAAACAAAATAAAACAAGCAGAATAACCTGATCGTATATATACTACTCATTAATCTGATTCTTGTTTTCTTATTACTACTTTTTGTTCATTTTTTTTCAGGCATTCTCTAATCTAACTAAAGCTACCTGTCGTGCACTTTGTTCTGTAATGGTACTTGCTATTGTCCGTGAAGCTGGTCAAATTGTTTTAAATGATAATGAAAAATTGGATACTTGGTCTGTAGTGCTCAACGGGACTGTAGAGGTAAGCGGAGGAGAAGGATAAACCTTTTCTAAAATATATCATGTGCTTTTGCTGTTTTTTACCTAACCACCTCCTAATCTATTATTATGATTATTGTTGTTATTTATCCCATTGGGTTCCGATTGGAATATAGGACTGACTTCAACAGCTCAGCACACCTACAATTTTATCCTGTTCTCTGCGATCCTTTCTAGCTGGATTGCCCACGAATGTCCAGAAACTTTCATTTCTTTTCTCACTAACGTCACTCTTGGATGCTCAAGGTATTATTTCCTATTTGGGTTCCACTTGAAGAGTTATAGGTGGCACATGATTTCTTTCAAAGGGTCTCGTCAGCGTGTGCCGAATTCATCTCCACTTTCTTCAGGGTATATGTTTACCAATAAGGTCGTATCTTCCATGGAAAGTGGAAGATACGAAAAGCCTAGTTGTCTTTGATCATAGGTGCCTGCGTTCTGTCTCACGTTTGTGTTAAGTGGTTTTGATAAGGTGAGTAATATTGAGATTGGGCATCGGTCGAGTGCTAGGTGAGTTGGAGGAAGAATCAATCGATGAAGTTGTGAAGTTACACCGATCGAGATGGTTAGGAAATGTGTTACGTATGCTTAGTAATCGCCTTCGTCGACAACGGGCAATGTTGACTGACATATGATAGATCAGGTTGGAAAAGAGTTAGCTGGTGGTAGTCAAACCAAAACATGACTTCATCAGTCAATGAAATCCACAACAGTTAGTTTGGGCCAACCAGCCACCCACTTAGGGAGGTGTAAACTTGTTGGCTGGTTGGGGTCCTCGGGATAGTAAGAACCAATGACGTCTGGAGACAGTTGCTGATATGGCTTCAAATCGTTCTCATTGTGACTCATCTTATATAATAAAACTCTATTGATCTTCTTCCCTCACACTTCTGTTTATTATCTGTCTCTCTTTTGAATCTCTCTTTACTCTTTTCTCGTGCTTTGTGTGCTACATGGAGGGAGAGTGGCAACTCAAAGTGCTGCACTTCTGTACAAAGTTGTACGTTGAAACCAGTCAGTCAGTCAATAAGTTGTTGTTTAAGCTACCTAATCTTCGCTATACAGAGCGAAGGAGGCAGGCGGCTGTTGATCTAAGTCTGCAACCGCCTGTTAGAAATGGTTTTGATGGCGCATGAACCAATTTTCTGGAGTGTATAGAAGCACGAACTGACGACTTGACTTTAGTGTATTGAAAATCCACACACAGTAAATTCAGATTAATAAACCATTTTCTTTACTAGTCCATTAATATTCTTTTTGATAAAAGCTCATAAACTTATGATTTGTCTTGATGTCAGAGCAACTGGACTGGTCGTTGTTATAGAACCATACACAGAAAGGTTGCAAAGAAGTGGATAAACGTAAAGTGATTGTGTGAGGAATAAGATTGGCTGAGTGATGACGAAATTAAAAAAAAAACAGAAGAGGCTAAAAAATTATGCGACAGCCGGACGAACGTCTTCTTTCCTTCACCACATCTGAGAAAGAACATATATGGAGAGAAACAGGCTTCCTAGATTGGTGTCATATTTGATTCTGACTACTGTAAATTTGTTTTCATCACAATTCTGACATTGCTCACCGAGGAAGGCAGACTGTAGTCACTTCAGTCGATGAAGACATCAACCCACCTGATCAAATGAAATTTTAGATGTGATTTCAGTATTACCCTACCTACATCATGGTTCCACCTGTCGTAAAGTGAAACAAAGTGGACTGTTTCACAATTAATTTGCTCTTTGATAAAATGGTTGAATATGTATCTTGGCTATCAAGCGTTTATCAGTAATCAGTCTATTAATACTGATGTGCAACTTTCAAAATGTGTGAATCAGCGCCAGCACCTTTGACTATTTCATTCCTCAATATAAAATTTGAACATTAATAGGCTCATACTAATTCACTTACTTGGGAAGTACCATCAGCCCCAACGGGTTGATCGCTGACGAAATCTCAACACAAATACAGAGGGTTTGTTTCGCACATGCCAGTTTACGCCGTCTCTGCCGTAGACGTGATATCCGAGTACCGACGAAAGGGCGTGTTTACTGCTCAGCAGTTCGCTTCGTTCTCCTTTATGGCTGTGAGACCTGGCCATTGAGAGTGGAGGATATGAAAAGATTAACTGTATTTGATCATAGGTGCCTGTGTTCTATCTCCCGTGTGAAGTGGCATAATAAGGTGAACAATATTGAGGTTATGCATCGGTCGAGTTCTAGGTAAGGAGGGGAAATCAATAGACGAGACTGTGAAATTACATCGACTGAGATGGTTAAGACATGTGTTACGTATGCCTAGTCATCGCCTTCCTCGACCTACGGGCAATGTTAGCTGACATAGGGTCAGGCTGGAAAAGAGCTGGCGGTGGTCAAACCAAAACATGGCACCAGTCAGTGAAATCTACAACAGTTAGTCTAGGCCACGTAGGAAGATGTAGACTTCCTGGCTGGCTGGGGTCCTCGGGACGGTAAACACCAACGAAGGCTGGAGGAAATTGGTGACATGGCTCAAAATCGTTCTCAGTGGCGCAGATGCATCCACTCCTTGTGACTTATGATTTCCAATTAAACTGTTTTGTTCTTTGTTATTACTGTACCATTGTCTCACACCTCTGTTTACTGTCTATATTATGCATTTCTTCTATTTTCTTCTCTTTCTTTGTGTGCTACACGAAGGGAGTGTGGCGACTTGAACTGCCGCACATATGTGCAAAGTTCTATGTCGAAAACCGACCTGACTGAAACAGTCAAAAAAATCTCCACTTTTATTACCCCATAACCCGATCTGTAACTCTATGCCATAGCCTACGAATAAACCACGTTTAAAATACACCAAATGGTTTTTGTCCGATAACTGAATTCAAAACTTGGTCGACTTAAGCACTCAGTTTTCAGCCGATGGATCACACAGGTTCGAGTCCCACTCCACTTACACTTCAAGCTTGAATAACTTAGCAATGGCATCAACCCTACTATGATAAGTGTGTGGCTCTCAACCTGATACACATGAAATATCTGTTCCGGATAATTTAAACCTAAACAAACACTTTATGCGTCTGTGGTCTATTGGTTGAGTACTCGTCAACCGCATCACAAGTGGTCAAACTACCGACTCAACTCTCAAACCTCATTTAGCTGGTAATAAGCCTACCTGGTGTGAAGAGGGATGAGACAACACTGCCGCTCCTGAAAACTTCAAAGCTTGTGGTTTGAAAAGCAAAGGAATATAAATACCCGAGGTTTTATGTATTTCATTTTCGATATACAAGTCATTAAATGTAGCAGCAGTACTAGTTGCTGTGGTATACAAACGACACCTTTTTATTACTTATTTTTCTAAAGTTAGTTGTTTATGTAGAAAAGAATTGATCGATTTTCTGGTGTGTGTGGTGAAATGTACTCGTTTGGGTTCACTTTTATCTACTTCCTTATTTTGGATGAATTTATGACATATATATTCATATTCATGTGACATGTGCATCCATTCATTCACCTACACTGTAGTGTCACCTAGTTGGTTATTTTATGAAGTTAAAAACATAAAAGTGTGTATACCTTATACACACTAACATGTGTGTTTTGTCGGCTAATAAACGTCTCTTCTCAACAAACAAACAAACCAAAAAAAGATATGCACATATATGTATGTACCAATTTGTTCCGGTTAAAGTCTTTACTACCATATATGCTGCGCACTATCCTCATCCTCTTTCCTGCCAAATTCAATGTAATGCATGTTGGTATTTCTACTGTTTTTGTTCACCTTAACAGTAGAAACAGAACTATCATGGGTTGGTTTGCAGGGATTTGATTTGATTGGTTACAGGGTTCATCACGAGCTGACATAGCATCAATCCATGAAATCCCTGACAGTCAAACTGAGTCAGGTAGGGAGGGAGATTCAGACTTCCGGGTTGGGGCCCGCCCTCGGGACTCTAAGAATCAATGGTTGCAGACACTAGGTGACATGGCTCAAAATCGTTGTCAATGCCTTACGCAGATGTATTCAGTCTCTTGTGTAATCTTTCATATTCCTTTCTACCATTAGTCATTCTGTTTCACTCTTATACTTGTCAAAACTCTATTCTCTATTCTCTTCATCACTCATCTTCTTGTCTATCTTTGTGTGCTATTTGGAACGTGGCAACTGGAACTGCTGCACTTCGGTGGCAAGTTCTATGTTGAATCCAGCCAGCCAGACATCTCTTAGGGAACCATTGGTAAACCTACAGAGAGTACTGGGCAGCCATTTCTCCCTCTCCCCCTCAGTTTGGGACTCTTGAATAATACGTACCCACTGCTAGAGTTCAGACCGGGAACCTTCCGGTTACGAGGCGAGTTCGTAGACCGATTCAGCCACTGACACCTGATCCAATGACATGCATTGTCATATAGCTGTTCAATAAAATTGATAAAGATTTAGCGCACTGCACTCCATTTTGTTGGAGGAGTTTCCAAATTACTTCGGGCAAGAGTAAACAATAGACACCAAAGTTAAATGACCTTGATTTGACCAATCAGATAGCTCAGCATTACAAATGGTTCCTAGTCATAATCCTCTTTGAAAGTGTCTCCTAGATTTGGTTTTTGACTTCTCTGTAGATAATGTGTTGATAGGGAGGAATAAAACATGCATGTGTGGAGAGATGATAACTTTGGAAAAGTATCACCGGGCTATTGATGGTTATACATTCAGATGCAACCACTTTATGTGAGGAAGTCTGTATAAGTTGGTAAGTCGTACATAATTGCTGATTTTTTAGACACTTTCTTCTCGAAATCAAAGCTCCCCCTAAGTAATATATTGCGTATATGCAACCAGTATCTGCTACAGCAGAGGAAATAGAGAATACATTAGTTTGATATGTCTATAACCACTTCTATGAGAATCTGGGACCAGTTTTCGCAGCATGTGTGAGATATAAGCCCTAAATGATTCATTTTTATTACGTATATCATAGATACACTTCTTTGTAAATTAAGC